TTGCGTATACACATCTCAAGACTTTTATGGAGGAAGTGGGACTTGCAGATGCATGGTTGGTCAGAAGTTAAATTGAGTGCAAGTTGGTCATTTACCTGTACACATTTCTGGTCTTTTATGGAGGAATGGGGACTTGTAGACATATTTCTGATCAGAAGTTGAACTGACCACGAGTCAGTCATTTGCGTATACACATCTCAAGACTTTTATGGAGGAATGGGGACTTGTAGACATATGTCTGATCAGAAATTCAACTGATCACAAGTTGGTCACTTGCATATCCACATTTCTAGTCTTGTATGAAGGAACGGGGACTTATATACATATGTCTGATCAGAAGTTGAACTAAACTCGATTTGGTCACTTGCCTATCCACATTTCTAGTCTTGTATGAAGGAATGGGGACTTACAGACATATGTCTGATCAGAAATTCAACTGATCACAAGTTGGTCACTTGCATATCCACATTTCTAGTCTTGTATGAAGGAATGGGGACTTCTATAAGTCCCCATATGTCTATACATATGTCTGATCAGAAGTTGAACTAACCACGACTCAATTATTTCTACAAGTCTCTTTTCTTTTATGAAGGACTTGAAACTTACAGTTGCAATACTTGTTCAGTTGTACTGCATCAGATGAAGTCTGAGAAAATGTGACTGCAACTGAGATATACCTTGATGGAGAAGATTCGTGGTTAATGACTGCTTATGATAGTCATGTGAATTAGGTTCTATGTAGATATACAATAGATATTCTTCGTGTGATGTGAGATTATTGTGTGTATTCCTTGACGAAGGTTTTTAGTGACCATAAATGACTGTTTATGGAAGTTGATGTGAATGAGGTTGTTAAGTATGTGGATAAGATTGAATATGCAACAGGTATTCTTCTTTGGATGATACAAGATCATTGTAGATATTCCTTGATGAAGAAGGTGCTTGGTAAATAATTGCTTAAGACAGTCATGTATGTGGATTAGGTTGAATCTGGATATGCAATGAGTATTCTTCTTTGGATGATGTGATATGTTCATTCCTTGATGAAGACTTTTGCTGTCCATAAATGACTGTTTATGGTGGTTGATGTAGATAAAGTTATATATGTATGTGGAGTAGGTTGAATGTGCAATAGATATTCTTCTTTGGATGATATAAGATCATTATGAATATTCCTTGATGAAGGAGGTTCTTGATAAATAATTATTTACGACAGTCACATATGTGGTTTAGGTTGAATGTGACATATGCAGTGGATATTCTTCTCTGGATAATGTGATATGTTTATTCCTTGATGAAGAAGACTTTTGCTGTCCACAAATGACTATCTATGGTGGTTAATGTGGATGAGTTTATGTATGTGGAGCAGTTTGAATGTGGATATACAATCGGTATTCTTCTTTGAATGACATAAGATCATTGTACATATTCCTTGATGAAGGAGGTGCTTGGTAAATAATTGCTTAAGACAGTCATATATGTGGTTTAGTCTGAATGTGACATATGCAGTGGATATTCTTCTCTGGATAATGTGATATGTTTATTCCTTGATGAAGAAGACTTTTGCTGTTCATAAATGACTCTTTACAATAGTCTCACTAGTTAACCACATTAAAAATCAATATCCAATACATATTCTTCTCTGCATGAAAATCATGTACATTCTTAACGAAGGTGTTCACAAACGAAGAAACAACTATTTCTAACACTGTCCTATACACTGTTTATGTATATTGCTATGGTTTGCATGTAAACCAGTCGTTGAACCGGTTTAGCAGTTTCAACGTGAACTTATTCGATTGCAATTAAGTATGTTTTGTCTACGATTACCCTATGAAATGGTACGTCACATTCGGAAAGACTTACAAGAGTATCCCCTCGGGCGGGTATTCGAAACAATGGTTCTTTATCGTATCCAATTACCTGTATACGTCGTAAACTTTCTATCACGGTAGTACGCAACGATTTTTTTCGTTTCCCATATAAATTCTCGGTCACTATAGAAATTAACCTGAATCGTGTATAAAGTTTATTCGCTGTTCAAGTCTTTAAATGCTTCTAAGTCGCTCGACAGATTGTAATTTGATTTTGACGCCATTTTGTTTGAAGTGCGCTGGGAAACATAACCTCAAGCATCACAATTTTTACAGATGCTAAATTATATAAATTAGCTTACTAAATATTTAAATTTAAACTTGTAAATATTTTAACTTGTAAAGGTTTAAACTTTTCATCATTCTTTATAATTGATATTAATATAAAATATAAATGTTCAACACTTAATTACAATTGTAACAAATGTATAAAACAACAAGTGTATAAATAAATATATAAAATAAGCTTCTAATGTTATATAAAAAAATAATACTTTACAAGTTTACTCAATAAACCTTCCACACGATATTAAAAGTGCGCTCTCATCCGCCATATTTGTTTCCAGCCTTTCCTTTTCCAGCATCGTAAATCAATTCAATTTCCCGCACGCTAGAAATAAATCACCGGTTTCTAAATCGATTTTTGTCCCACGATAGAATTATTAATTATCAATATTCGTCACCTAGCATCAGTTATGCGACTATGATCAAACTTCTATCGTAAAAAAATATAAAATGGCCGCCGGGTACGTTCTCCGTGAAAATGAAGAGGGAAATAAAATTTTTTACGACTTCGAAACGTAATCACGATTTATACCGCTAAACAGTGTAGCTCTTCACTTAATGACACTAAAGTAAGGACTGGGTTACGCGTGATTACACGGCTGCAATAATTCAGTAATGCAATACCATAATTGATCACTGCGGTGATTAACAGCTCGGTGTTGCATCACTTGCGTTCGTTCCATGAATTTATATCATAACATTATATACGTACTTATCTTGTACACCTTTCTCCCTGTTGCATGGTATTTTTGAGTTTCGCAACATCAATTCAATTTATTACATACAGATAATGCTGATCAACTATTTTAATTAACTCGTATTCTGACCACTTGTAAAATTATATTTTGTAATATTATTTGATCATAATATAAATTAAATATAATATAAATTAAAGACTTTAGTATGAAAAATAAATCTGTACATTTGGACAAAATCTCCTAACCTTAATCTCTAACCTAACCTGACTTACAAATGTACACATCGCTAGATACAAATATAATATAATATAAATTAAAGACTTTAGTATGAAAAATAAATATGCACGTTTGGACAAAATCTCCTAACCTTAATCTCTAACCTAACCTGACTTACAAATGTACACATCGCTAGATACAAATATAATATAATATAAATTAAAGACTTTAGTATGAAAAATAAATATGCACGTTTGGACAAAATCTCCTAACCTTAATCTCTAACCTAACCTGACTTACAAATGTACACATCGCTAGATACAAATATAATATAATATAAATTAAAGACTTTAGTATGAAAAATAAATATGCACGTTTGGACAAAATCTCCTAACCTTAACCTCTAACCTAACCTGACTTACAAATGTTAACATCGCTAGATACAAATATAATATAATATAAATTAAAGACTTTAGTACGAAAAATAAATCTGCACATTTGGACAAAATTTCCTAACCTTAATCTCTAACCTAACCTGACTTACAAATGTTAACATCGCTAGATACAAATATAATATAATATAAATTAAAGACTTTAGTATGAAAAATAAATATGCACGTTTGGACAAAATCTCCTAACCTTAACCTCTAACCTAACCTGACTTACAAATGTTAACATCGCTAGATACAAATATAATATAATATAAATTAAAGACTTTAGTACGAAAAATAAATCTGCACATTTGGACAAAATTTCCTAACCTTAATCTCTAACCTAACCTGACTTACAAATGTACACATCGCTAGATACAAATTGTACCATCCATAAAATCTGTACACTCTTTACATCTAAAACTCCCTAGATCGCAGACCTCTGATCCTTCATTATGCAAATACGCGTGAACGCAAGATGGCCGTCGTCCGAGCGTCCTCAACAATAAACAGATGCATCTCTTGGAACCTCTTTCACAGTTTTACTACTCGTCGCAAAACCGTGTCCTTCCTCGAGAATCGAGGAGGACACAAAAGAACGAATTGTATCTCATTCCGTTTCTTCCACCGTTGTTTCCTGGCTGCTTTTTCGCGGGACCCGTGCGAACGCACTTCGTGATTATAATTAAGTTAATTAAAGGGGAGCACTAATTGCCGGTAATTAGGCGCGTTTGAGCGGCACCTCGCGTGTCACCGCGACTTTGGCTCGGACCGTTATATTCCTTTTACGTTTTTGTGCAATGTTTACTTTTCGATGGTTTCTGCAAGCTTCTGTTGCTGAAGGCGATGTATGCTAAATACTTCTGTAGTGATCGGACTTTTTGTGTCTTCAATATAGTTGTCACCTTTTAAATTGTATGAAGAATGTGTGGAATGAATCAGGTTATTAGAAAAGTAATACATTCAAAAATTGAATACAAACATAAAGGAAGATTGAAAAAAATGATATGATTGATTGATGATATGAATGATTCTAATATGATTACATGTTATTAAGATGTTGACTAAAATACTAAGTTAAAAATTTTACAATGTACTTGTATGATTAATAAATCTTAATATATTCATAATATTTTGTATTATTCATAGTAAAGTATTCATAGTTCCAATGAAGTAATTACTATGATCTACAACATGTTTACTATGAAATACAACATGTACATAATGTTTCAAGTTTTTCACTTATCTTAGTGTTACAGTAACAAACTCCAATTAGGTAAATGAACAAATTTGAATATTGATTACAATCTGTATAATCAGAGCTAAATAACATTTCAAGTTTCTCATTTATCTTAATATTGCAGTAATAATGTCTTATTAGGTTGATAAACAAATTTGAATATTGATTACAATATGTACTATCAAAGTTAACTACAAAGTATACTTAACATTTTAGGTTTTTTCATTTATCTTAACATTACAGTAACAATCACCAATTAGGTGCAAATTTGAATAAACATTGTGAATAACATTCTGAACAAATATGGATGCCAATTACAATCTGTACAACCAAAGTTAAATACAAAATACACATAACAGTTTAAGTCTCTTCGTCTAGCTTAACATTGTAGCAATAATCTTCAATTAGGTAGACGAATAAACTTGAATAACAATTACAATCTGTACAACCAAAGTTAAATACAAAATACACATAACAGTTTAAATCTCTTCGTCTAGCTTAACATTGTAGCAATAACCTTCAATTAGGTAAATGAACAAACTTGAATAATAATTACAATCTGTACAACCAAAGCCAAATACAAAATATACATAACAGTTTAAATTTCTTCATCTAGTTGAACATTGTAGCAATAATCTTCAATTAGGTAAATGAACAAACTTGAATAACAATTACAATCTGTACAACCAAAGCCAAATACAAAATACACATAACAGTTTAAATTTCTTCATCTAGCTTAACATTGTAGCAATAATCTTCAATTAGGTAACTGAATAGACTTGAATAACAATTACAATCTCTACAACCAAAGCCAAATCCAAAGTATACCTAACATTTCAAGTCCTCTTATTTATCTTAACATTGCAGTAACAATTTCCAATTAAATAAATGGACAAACTTGAATAACAATTACAATCTCTACAACCAAAGCCAAATCCAAAGTATACCTAACATTTCAAGTCCTCTTATTTACCTTAACATTGCAGTAACAATTTCCAATTAGATAAATGGACAAACTTGAATGTCAATTACAATCTGTACAACCAAAGCCAAGTACAAAATAACTTCCCATATCAAGTTTCTTCATTTACCTTAACATTGCAATAATAATTAGCCAACTACCGAAACCCCATAGATTAAGGGGTTTTTACTTAAATTTAATTACAACAGTATTTGCCAAAAGCCATTAAGATATGCAAAAACAAAGTTGGCCCACTTTCTACTCGCATTTCTGCAATGTTCCAAGTTGAACCCACGTTCTCTGTTTCCAGGACAAGGCCGAGTGAATCAACTCGGAGGTGTTTTCATTAACGGGCGTCCATTACCGAACCATATTCGCTTAAAGATCGTCGAAATGGCGGCGGCCGGTGTCAGACCCTGTGTGATCTCGAGACAGCTGAGAGTCTCTCACGGTTGCGTGTCGAAGATCTTGAATCGGTACCAGGAGACGGGGTCGATTAGACCCGGGGTGATCGGTGGCAGCAAACCGCGGGTTGCAACGCCTGAAGTCGAGGCGAGAATCGAGGACATGAAAAGACAGAATCCTGGGATATTCAGCTGGGAGATTCGTGAGAAGCTGATAAAGGTCTGTTGATAGTGTCTGGAAATAGAGGAAGTGTCAGAATGAATGTAAAATTTTGTAAATTGTAATATTTTTATAGATGAGAATTATAATTATTTTATTCAACTGATCTTGCTAGTTTGCAAATTTAATTTTGCTAATATAGTAATATTTTGAGTTCAAATTTCGATATTATAATTATACTCTGAACTTCTAAATATCATCTGAATTTTGTTTGGTTAATTGTATTAAATTTATGGTGGCCATAGTTGTCACAAAGCTGTGATTTTAGTTGCTGATTTGATTATTTTTGAAAGGTTACTGGGCCTTGTGAAGTTAACCTCTTCAAGGTTATGTTAGCATGAAGCTTTCAATACTAGAATTATACTGTGAATATAACATTCAATGTCATAATTATACTCTGAATTTGACTATCAGTATTATGATTATACTCTGAGTTCAACTTTCAATGTTATAATTATACTCTGAATTTCTAATCATTCTCTCAATTTTCTTCTGGTTAGTTGCTTTAAATTTGTGGTGGCCATAGTTGTCACAAAGCTGTGATTTTAGTTGCTGATTTGATTATTCTTGAAAGGTTAGCAGGCCTTGTAAAGTTAACCTCTTCAAGGTTATGTTAGCTTGAAACTTTCAAAATTAGAATTATAATGTGAATCTACCCTTCAATATTATAATTGTACTCTGAATTTCTAATCATTCTCTCAATTTTCTTCTGGTTAGTTGCTTTAAATTTGTGGTGTCCATAGTTGTCACAAAGCTGTGATTATAGTTGCTGATTTAATTATTTTTGAAAGGTGTGAGGTTAAAGTTATTCTTCTTCAAGGTTATGTTTGCATGAGATATAAATATTGAAGAGAACGTATTTTCTAATTTTCATAGTTATGCTAACTAGTCCAATGTGGTTCTGCCAGCAGGATGGTATCTGTGATAAAGCGTCAGCACCATCGGTTTCGAGCATTTCGAGACTTCTTCGTGGGCCCACAAATCAAACTCGGCCGGGAGAGGATCCTAGGAGGAATCATTCTATCGATGGGATACTCGGTGAGTCCGTTTTTATTTTAGATATACTGTTCGCATTATAGATCATTTAAATTAGCATAAGATATATATATAAACTAGTATTAAAATAAATTTAAACTTACATTCAAATAAATTTAAACTTGCATTAAAATAAATTTAAACTTGCATTAAAATAAACTTAAACTTGCATTAAAATAAATTTAAACTTGTATTAAAATAAATTTAAACTTACATTCGAATAAATTTAAATTTGTATTAAAATAAACTTAAACTTGCATTAAAACAAATTTACACAAGTATTAAAATGAATATAAATTAGTATTAGATTAAATAAAAACTTCTATTGAAATTAATGAACTCAAGTAAATACGCAATTAATTACTCGAATAAATTTGAACTAATATCAAACTGAATTTAAAGGAATATTATAATAAATTTAAATTAGTAACTTAAACTGAAAAATAATTCATGAAGTTATATTCAGCTTACTTATAATAAAAAATAATTACTATCTTTAAATTGTTATTTAGAAAAGTAGAAATGTTGTTGTTATGTCGAATTAACAATTTTATAAATTTAAATTTTACAATTTTACAATTTTACAATTTTACAATCTTACAATTTTACAATCTTATAAATTTACAATCTTACAATTTTGCAATCCTACAATTTTACAATCTTACAATTTTACAATCTTACAATTTTACAATCTCCAATTTACAATCTAAAATTTCCCCAAATTCCAATTAAAAAATTTCACAATCACCATTTTTAAAAAAAGAACAAATTCGTTAACAGATAAATCTACCCATCAGTTTCCATCATCAATCCCTCCATAAACATTCCCCGCCCCTTCCCCCACCAGTGTCTCTCAACCAATCACTCAATTCTCACCAATTCCCCCAAAAACCAAGAAACCATCAGAAAAATTATAACATTTAGTTTCCTCCACCCATATAAAAACGAAATTACGTCAGAGATTCAATGATGAACGGGTTGTCGTTTAAAGAGCGAAAGATTCGAGGAACGATACACGCGAAATTCGCGAACAGCGTCGTTGTTTTAGCACCGCATAAACCATTAGGCGAACGTAAATGAAACGTTCGTGGTAATCGAGCGATAAGCGTAATTATAGCGTACAGCTACGTTAAGTTAATTGAGTTAAGGTGACCGTAACGATAAGTGCCGCATGAATATTGGTAGTACATATTTTGCATCGGACAAGAATGGAACGCGTATACCAGTCTCCTTTCTCGGTCCATTCGATGCTCGTCGAACCTTTTTCCTGTGAATTATATCGTAACAAGAGCGGCAACATGAATTTTCTTCGTGAATGGTTACATTGTTCCGAGATTGCGATTTATTATACTTCGACTTGCTTTTGTATCGATTATTCGAAGACTCATGGTAGTATCTTTGAGATTGCTTTGTTTGCAAGAATTTTTATCTGGTTAAAATTTCTTTAGTTTTGTGTAAAAAATTATTAAAATTATTTTATTTTAAAGAAGTAGGTTCAAAATCATGCAATTTGTTTAAATATTTTGGATAATACAAGAATGTAATAATTCTGTTATGTATAAATTTTGAATTAGGTTCAAAATAGTATGAAAATTTGTATAAAGAAATCAGATATCAGATAATAAGAATATAATAATTTATTGCATATAAATAAATCTTGAAATAACCTCAGAATAATATAAAAATTTACGTAAATAAATAAAACAGTTAATAATAATATCATAATAATTTATTACGTATAAATAAAGCTTGAAATAACCTCAAAATAATATAAATATTTACATAAATAAATAAAACAGTTAATAACAACAAAATAATAATTTATTACATATAAATAAAGCTTGAAACAACCTCAAAATAATATAAAAATTTACATAAATAAATAAAACAGTTAATAACAACAAAATAATAATTTATTACATATAAATAAAGCTTGAAACAACCTCAAAATAATACAAAAATTTACATAAATAAATAAAACATTTAATCATAATATCATAATAATTTATTACGTATAAATAAATCTTGAAACAACCTCAAAATAATATAGAAATTTACATAAATAACTAAATCAGTTAATAGCAATAATATAATAATTAGAGAGACTATACGTGCACATTTTTTAATCGTTCAAAATATCGCAACTAGAACTACGTACTTAACCTACATTGCGTAACATACAATTCATTACAACTATTTTTCAAAACCTCTCGAAACACAATAAAGTTTCGAGTCTCAAAAGTTCAAAACTTTGCACTTCTATGACTCGAAACTCTCGAAATGCAGATGAAAAAACAAACTAAATGAAATGAAAGAGCTATTCGAAGTATCTCATGAATATTAGATGTATCGTATGTCCGAAATAGTGCACGCTTTGCGCATGCGCGGTGATTAGTTTTTGTTTCCGAGGTTATGAGCACATTGACGTTCGATCGTAATCGTAGAAGTGCGTAGCCAGTACGACGTTGCGTTCTTAAAAAACGTTACTGGTTCTTAAAACAAGATATTCTCGAATACAAAACGACCATCAAGTTTCCAGAGTTCCGAGTTTCAAGCTACGGAAGTGCAGAACTTTTGAGACTCGAAAATTTATTCGTAACATTTACGAATGTTACAGCGCTTCGTATTCGGGTTTCACGAAAATCGCTTCGAACCTAACCTAACCTAACGCGTTAAGGCCGTGCACGGAAACAATATTATTCGTAACATAAACGAATACAATAGTGTATCGTGGAATTTAAGTGGAATAGTCCGAACAGTTCGTAGGGCAGGAAGAGATTAACGGGAATATAGGTCCGGTCGGCGGACGTAAAGGGAGTTTCTTTCTTTTTTATTTATTAGTGGCGGTGAAGCGCACGAAGAAATATTAGGCGTCCCGTGGCGCGTAGATGTGTCGAGTTTATTACCTTGTCGGGAAGATTTAGTTTTGATTAGATGTAACCCCAGGAATTGCGGCTTGTCTGTTGATCGGTTCGCACCAGTCCTCGAGCAAATCTTCATTTTCGCCCTGGACAAAATTACGGTATACTGGGTGTCCGAACCGTCGCCATTTTTCGCGAACTAGGTTACGTTTACTGTTTACTAAAATTATCGATAACAAATGCATACTTTCAATTTTTTATTTATATTTAATTATTAGTGATTATTATAAGTAATTATAATTATGAGTGACACAAAAAATGACAATTTAATTTCAGAACAAGAGAGTTGTTCTCCGAGTTTTAATCTCAAAGACTCAGCTATCGCTTTTGTTATATAAATTAAAATGCAATTGATGTAAGAATGTAGAATTATCTTGAGTGTATAATTGAACGTACACAGAGTTACATGTTTATCTTTCATCTTCATTTCAACGCGATAAATAAAGGATTTTGTATCACTCGTGGGAAAATTGTGGTAAATGAAAGATGAACCGGTAGAGGGTAATATAATATAATGGAAGATTCTTTTGTATTTAACATCTTAATACAAGATAGTAATTTTATTAATACTGATAAGTTTGAAATGAGTGCAAAATAGAAGTATTACCCACGTATTAAGCGCGTAATTAAACGTTTCAATGAACTAACTACCGTGGTTATAATTAATACCGTTCGGGGCTTTGGCATATGAGGCGTGTCCCCGAGGCAAATATTCATCAGGGGGCTGAGGATGCATTGATACCGATGTATAGGGTGATTAATAAGTTCTCAACATAATTTAGAGCAAAATGTTGTAATTTAGAACAAAATGTTACACTAAAAAATAGCAATGTTTTAGTAAGAAATTATTAGTGAAAATAAAAGTTGTATTTCGTTAAAAATATAAAATACATATCTAAATTTCTGAATTTCTAGATTTCTACAGTTATAAATTTTTAAATTTCTAGATTTCTAGATATCCAAATTTCTGAGGTGTTAAATTTATAGAATATCAGTCTAATTATTTTTAAAGATCTCATCGACAAAGGAAGCAATTTAATTTTCAAACTTTCTATAAAAACAAATATGACGGCTAAGAGCAGTGTGTAAAAATAAACAATGGCGGAAACAAAAGATTTAGTACAAACTGCAGTAAACTAGTTTGTTAATTTTAAATAAAATGAGAAGAACCATGATTTAGTATTATTATTTATTTACAATAATTGGACTAACGGGGAAATCATCAATAACCACAATGTGATACATAATTATATATAAAATAATACAATAATTTTCACACTTATACATATTTTTATATTCATACAATTTTACCTGCCCAAATAGTACAGATATGATTTCACTGATTCATGCAGCACTTCAAGAGCGGCTCATCAAAAAATCCACTTAAGTATTTCATTTTAATAGATATACCTCGAAAATTCTATATTAGTCTTTCGCTACTATGAAAACTTTCGAACAATAAATCACGTATAAATCAGTATATTCTGATTCGTCCTGTTGCGTTCGTGTATAAAGCTATGTACATTTAGGTACAATTATCGTTCAACATCGCAACCACGATTAAAAGCGATAATTACAAGGATCCCTTTACGAGCGCGAACAAGGAAATAAAAGAAGCGTTTGATGGATTAAGTTTTAATTAAAAGGTATTAACCATTAACGATGGTCATTTACAGGGCTGATGAACGCTCGAGCAAAAGCTGCCCGATGGATATCTCTAATTGAGGGTTTCAGTTTTAAAGTGGTCCGCAATATTTCTCTGGACGATCTAAGATCGAGTGTTCGATGCTTTTGCACCTCTTGTCGCGTTTTACATTCCATTAACATACATTCATTGATATCTTGCGTGATATGATTACTTGATGCCTTTTCAACGTTCATTCGGAAATGTTTGCTACAGCATTATATTTCTATCGTTTGCATATTCGTTTGGAGATATCTTAATCACTGTATTTATTCGATACGGAAATCTTCGATAGTAATTATGATACTGTCGTTTTGTGGTTTATTCATATTGTTATTGGTCATTTAGTGAAATCTTCAATGTTTGGTTGTTCAATCATCAAACTAGTAAGTTCTACT